TGAACATTTTGCCTAAACTGCCTTTGGACTCCTGGACCTCCAAACCTGCCTGTTCCCATCTGAACAGTTTGCCTAAACTGCCTTTGGTCTCCTGGACCTCCAAACCTGCCTGTTCCCATCTGAACAGTTTGCCTAAACTGCCTTTGGACTCCTGGACCTCCAAACCTGCCTGTTCCCATCTGAACAGTTTGCCTGTACTGTCTTTGGACTCCTGGACCTCCAAACCTGCCTGTTTCTGAACTGATCCGTTTGCCTGACCTTGCTTCAGACTCCTGCTTGTTCTCTCTTCTTCTGGGCTGCAGCGTCTGAGACACTCTGGGTAGCACCTGCCACATATTGTTGGCAGCCCACCGGCTGGATCCTACCTCGTTTTCAGGACTGTTAAACCAGGTTAGTGACTCACCCTTTCATATCATCGTCCATTAGATATACGCGGTCACTAACCTATGTTTCCTTTTACAGAGTTTCTTGTGACAGACGACCTAGCCACTGCTACTCCGACCATCCGTGTTTTAATAAACGCTTTTGAATTATCCCACTGTATGTCTTGCCTCGAATACTGGGTCCTATATTCTGAGTCATGACAGATTATCATGAATGAAAGAACGTAATCTTGGTTACAAGTTGCCGATGTGAGCTTTCTCTGCGGGGGCGGGGGGGCACTAACTCCTTGAGACACAGAGAGAGGAATCAGCTGAGGTGGCTAAAGCAATTGGACGTCTTTGTGTCAGGCATGTCCCACCGGGATGGATGTCCAGGGGACGGCCTTGCTGAAGGGTCAATGTCCGGAGAGGAGTTGAAGAAGATGTCTCAAGAGAGTGTCTGATAGGACTGCTGCCCCTGCAATCCGGTCCCTTGCAAAAAAATTATTAATTAATAATATTTGAGTGCAGGCGATGGGGAAATGGTAGCCTGCTCCGTGTCTTTGGAGAACCAAGGCTATGCGGAGTCAGTACAGGGAGATGAAGAATGGAGGTTTGAGGCCCTTAGAAGTGCTCCACAGGATTCAGAGCAGCCAACACAAAAAAAACCCATCTTCCTGTGGATTTCAAGCTCATATATTTACACGTACGCTCAAACAATTATAAATAGATCATCTCCATCAACTCCAACATGTTTTCTTTGCCAGAGGATCTAGGAAACATTCAGCCTAGATTTGTCTTTTTCAAGGAAATATAATAAAAAAAACAGCAATACATTAAATGTAGCATTATATCTTAACAGATAAACAGTTGTTGAAAGTAAAAGACGATCAAGGTGTCATGAATATAAAATCATAATATAAAGAACATTTTTTTATGACTAAAAGTCAATTCAACTCAGTTTATTTCTATAGCAGCAGTTTAAAACACATGTCATCTCAAGGCACTTTACACTGAACTAGATCATCCAGTCAGATTGATCTAAAGTTTTCTATCTGTTTCCATCGACTCATTGACTCTTCAGCAATCCCTCACACTAAGCATGCTTGTAGCGACAGTGGAGAGGAAAAACTCTCTTTTAACAGGAAG